TTTTACACGAGTAAAACAAGTGCTTTTACACTCATTTACATTAACTTAATTAATTTTAGTAATCCATGCATAAAGTTTTGCTATCACTGTTTACATCTTACATTAATTGGATGTCTTTAAAGGGCAAGGAGCCTAGAAAACAGTAATTTGTTTTGAAGCTCATTCTGGGTTTCGAATTCACTAGAATTGCGTACTTATTATCCTAACAACCAAAAGATACAGCTTATATAAATATAAGCAATTATCCTGAGGTATCTTGAATTGCTCATCCGATCTCTGACATCCAAGAATAACATTATAATAAAATTATCCCTAAAGTAAAAAAGACGGCTCGTCAATAAAATCCATTAGTTCAAGATTATATAAAAATCATGGCAAACAACCCCAAATTACAGTATTGATATCTATCTGCTATTATTTCCATTATTTCTATAAATTACAGCATCCTTCGCGGAAGGTAGTAAGGAATCATATTATTTAAGTATTATTGATTTTATAAAGGAAAGCCTTACACAATAAGAACAAAAAAAAAAGAGGAAGGAATTCATGTTCTAGAAATACCAAAGTTTATTAAAGAGCCCTCGAGTAGTCACGCAATGTCTACGATTATTTTATTAGTACTATTATTTTTCTTATTTTTGTTTCGAGACGAGCTAGACTAACTTGCTAGCTTATTTAAAATTATATTTACTTCTGTATGTGTTTTCATATTATTTTTTATTGATTCACTTGAGAACATGAACAAAACAGCAGCAGTGAATTTCATTAATAAATATGAGAAGGATAAGTAATAAAAATGGAAAGAATTCACTTGTACAACGTAGACGTTTGAAACAGGTAGAAATAAAACGCAAAATGAGTTAAAAAAATTCTCATAACACAATGACTTACATTTTTAACGAATAAATCCTTGTGCAATTGCTGTATTTTCTCTATTATTGACTCACTGGATCTTATTGCTGCACTTTTGTAAATATTTTCTTATCTTTTGCACTTCTGTTTATTTATTATTTTCACTTTCTCACTGATTCACATTTCTTGATCATGAGTCTTTCTCACAGCATTAAAATGCAGCATAAATAGAAGGAAGATGCAGCATAATAAACAACTAACTTAACCGCAAATTATTATTTTATATTATTATGTTTTGATCAATTTTCCTTAAATTTTACAATACTTAAAATTATTTTTCTTCACTAGACAGCACTTTTTGCATGTAGATTCAAGCAATTGATAATTAACAAATTGATACTAATGATAAAACGCGAGCACAAATATTTTTATGGAACCGCTTTCAACGAAATTCACGAAACAACTGTTGAGAGACAATTTATTTACTAACCTGCTGAATATAAAAAGCTCATTCTCTGAGAAATATTTGAGAGAGAATTTTTATACTCTCACAACCAGAGGGCACTTTTGTCGAATGTTTGATGTTTTGATTCAATGTTTTCTATGATGCTGAGTTAAGAGATTGTTCAAATAAAAATTTTTCTTGAATTTAACTGACTTTGCAAAGACTTTTGTTTGGACATTACACAAGCGAATAGCTGAAATTAAATTAAAATGGATTGTTCTGAAAGATAAGGCTGTTTTGATACCAATTTTCAAAGTCAAACCTTCATTTCTCAAACTTTTTTGGTGAAAATCTAAAACTTATCAAATCCAATTTCCTGTTATCCACATGAAATTTAACCTTCTTTGAATATTTTTAATCATTTGAAGCTTTAAAAAATCTCGAGCAGCAATAACTTCTCCGAATCCAGGGTAGTCTATTTTTAAAAATACTTTAAATATTCCTGAATACTTTACATGAATGTATTAATATTGTTTGCATGCCACATTTGCCTTCCTAGAAAATCAACATTGAATGCCATCCTTATCATAAATTCATATTCATCGCATATCACGCAATTGAGATAGAAACAAACATCATTGTTACCATATGTTCTGGCGGTTCCAAGGTTTCATTTTGCAAAAATAAGCAACAGTTTCGACATATCAATTTTTGGGAGCATGTGATGATTCTAGCTGTAGATATTTAAATATTTTGAACTTTCCTTCTTTTTATCAACTTACTAGCCACAAAAACAAAACCACAATGAATGACAATCAATTTTCAGCATATGTGTCATAAAATACGGAAGTATGACGAAATCCAGCATAAACATGATTCACACGTTCATATTCTGAGAATTTTGTTAAGAAAATGAATATGAAAATGACTCATTCAATTAACAAGTGATCATAAAATTCGTAAATTAATGCCTTTTGTGTGTAAGCACATGATTCTGAAATGAATAGGGGTTGTTCATAAATGATGTTCTTTATGTTGACTTTTCTCATGCGATAATTTTCATTTCTGGAGGATCTGAATCTATAGTATTACATTGCATGACATAACTTGTGAATGCCCCCCAAAAGCTGAAAAACAAACGATTGAAACAATTTTTATTAGCTTTTTAACATTTAACAATTACCATTTATTTATTGAACGATTTTTTTTTGGATTTTCCAACTCTTTGTTACTGTTTAAATCATGAAGATCTTTCATTATCAATTAGACCATTTAAACAGTGAATTCAAATAGTGTATATTAGTTGTAAGAATGAGTTTTAATAAGAAAAAAAAAAAATCTTAAGAAAAATATAAAGTAAATCCATTTGTTGGAAATTGTATATATTGAGTGTCATTAGATAATTAGTTTCTTAAATGGAAGGTATCAAAAAGAAATAAGTAAGTTAAATGGTTCCTTAGGCCAGCTTTTTGCATCCGTTTGTATATATTTTTTTTATTTGTGAAAATTGATGAGTGCAAGTTCTCTTACATGCTATATACTACATTTATATTACCACACGTTTGTAATTTTTTTCTTCTTTTCATTGATACAATTTAATTATTACTCTCAAATATTCTCAATCGAATTCATTTACAGCATTTATTTCGTTTCTTGAAATATTTCCTCAGTTTTACATAATTTTTTAAGTGCAGTGCATTTTAATCCATTTTTTTAAGCCCATATGAATAATTTTATTCATCTCATGAGGATGAGTATGTAAACAAGAGGATGGAAATATTGATCAGCATGTGATATGGCACTCAATTTTAAAGACACAATTTCATTTTTCAAAAATTTCCAACAGTTTTGGTTTCAATCTCAAGATTTAGCTAAAAAATTATACTTTACGATTTGATTTTTTTTGAGCCTTAAATAAATTTTAATAAAATGTGTAATTTTTCATCTAATTTCTCACTTACTGAGGCACTCCATGAATAAATTCCTGATTTCATTTTGTGTATTTGTGTGATAAACCGCATGTGGGGTATTATGTTTTACTTCTTCCTTTTTAGATAAAGAATCAAATATAATATTTTTTTTTTCATCTCGGAGGGTAATACAAATCTAATGCTAAGCTCGAAAAATATTCCTGATGGTTTCTTTAATCAATTTGTTGTCTTGTGGACTGACTTTATTAAGGTTCATGACCTTTAGGTTAATGTGAATTTAATCTAAATTGATCTGGATACATTATTTGAAGGATAATAAGCATATAATACCTAATCTTTAGGTGTCGTCCATAAATGACGTCTGAAAAAACGATAATTTTTCAAAAACAAACAAAAGAATTTCAATAAATACTTTTGTTTTGAACTCTGTGATGTTATTTACGAACAACCCTTTAATAGAAAAGATAAATAAATCTGATTGAATTTAAAATTTGAGACTTGATTTAATGAATTAAAAATTAAATCTTTAGAATCACAAGAGTTTAACTAATCCAGCTCTACTTTCTGAATAAATCTTAAATTAAAAGTTTAAATCTTGGAGAACAAATTCCTTTAATAATCAAGGATACAAGTAATCAATTCATATTAGTCGCAACGAGATTGACCAACTTTAACGAAATCAGTCCACTTATATTTATTTTCAGACGACTTCCATACAAAGCATGAAAGTTCTTTCATGTATGATACCAAATAATCAAAGATATAGAAGATTTTCAATCTAAATGATTGTATCAATTTTTGAATTACAACTTCTGAGTTGTTCGTTTGTTTAACATTGATAATATAATATGTAGATATTGTTTCTTTGCTCATTTGTACAACATTTAAATTCGTGCAAACGACGATTATTTTTTTCTAAGGTAATTTTTCATTTATTTTCTTCCAAAAAACGAGAAAAATATGTTTCAAAAGCTTTTATTTTTTTTTTCGATAAATTTATTTGCAATAACGCAAATATTAAAATTTCTTTTTTTTTTATATTCTCTTTCCATCGATAAATTTTTTTGAGAAAATAATTTTGTGTGTGAGAACAGCCTTCAAAATGACTGTAAGTATATATTTGCACTTAAAGTTTAGCTCAATAGATTATTGAAAAACAAAAATTTGTATTTATACACAACTACGCACACATCAGTTGAGATATACATCAACATGATACAGAGAAGATCCACAAATAATCAACTTTTTGTGAGCTACAGTAAGTAATAATTATTGATTATAGGATATAATGAAACATAAAAATATGATGGTAGAAATTATTTAAGATGACGGATGTAATTCTATCATATTAAATTGTAATGAAAAAAAAGATATCAAATTTCTTGTGTGCGTAGGAAGAAAAAATAGAAACATATCCAAAAATGCAACTTACAAATCTACTTACAGTAAAAGGAAAATAAAATAAAATGATTGTTTTATCAATTTGAGTTGATATCAACATTAAAGAAAAATTAATGATTGTTTTTAAAAAGACAATACAGTAAGTAAAAACTTGAATTGAATAAAGGTTTAAAAATACAGTTTGACATGTAAAAAAATCAATTAAGAACATCTAAAATATACTTTTTTTTGTTGAAAACTTTTTGATTATATCAAATTTATAAAAAAATTAACAAAATAATAATATTGCAATGTAAAAATTAATTAAAGTTTGATTAAAAATAGTTCCAACTCCTTTCATCTATGAAAAATAATTTTTTTTTTTGATTTAACTGATATAAACATATGAGGCTATTTAAGACACAGATTAAATCTCGAAGTAAATATCTCATTATGATTCTTAAATTGGCTGTTATCAAGATATAAAGATTTGATTTCTTAATCTTCAGAACTTGAAGTCGAGTCCGAAAATTGACAAATAATCATAGTTGAAAATCACCTAAATAGTCATTCTTTCACATGCAATGTCTATCGAATTTTCTTATTCAAAAATATTTAAGTAAAGTTTTCAAACTTAAAGGAATCATTATTTTCTAATCTTTTCTACAAAATAGTTGACTGTATAAACATTCTTCGTTGTATTTTTATAGCACACATATAAAGTAAGCATTCTCCAATATACCTCATATGTCTTATATTAATCATCTCAAATCAAATAAATCTATAACATAACACAAAAGAAAAACTTGAAGTAAAAAACTTGTGGTCCTTATAAAAATGCTCTTTTGGTCATGACTTTTTCTCTTCTCTTCATGCTTTGCTTATAAAAATAATACAATATATTCATTCTTTGTAAAGAAATAAAATTAATAAAAAAAAAATTGGAAGTATTCTTAGCTGCTGCCTTTTGTATCTACTACTAAACACAAGAAACAATAAGTTTTTTTTTTAAAAAAATAATTGTTCAATTGAATGATGACGTGTACATATCAATGTTCTCAAGCGAAAGATCGAAATTATCCATTCCTGGGATTTGATTCATATGATTCATTTGTCCATCGTCGATTCCGTAGCTGATTGAGAGAATATAAAAGAATAAAGATAGTGGGAAGAGAAAGAGAAACACACAATCAAAATGATAAAAATAAAAACACAAATAAATTCCTTAATTATTGATATATAATGAAAAATAAATGCAATAAAGGATTGGAATTAGAAATTGCTACATAATATTAGTAAACTACGATCTAATTGTGTGTGTAAGAGAATTTTGTAAAACATGCAACTAACTTAGTGTCCAAATACCATAAAAAAAACATTTATATCAACAACAATTGAGTGTCATTTTATTCCTACAACAATTTAAAAATTAAAAAACTGTGCGAGAAAAAAATGCTTAAGATTGCTAACATGACTCATAAAGTGATGTGTGCGAAAGAAGTGCTCATGTATTCTTACTGATTAGCCAAAAACATTGATCCACATATAAATTGTTTTTTTTTTTTGTATCATTATTATTCCTTAAAATCGACATCAATGGACAGATTTCTTTTCTTATATCCAAAACAGATATTTTTCGTTTTTTAAGTACTACATTATTTATTTTGAGTTTGTAAAATTATTAAGGATTTGACGATAATTCAGATATATCATCGAATATTACATAAAGGATGCGAAGTTCATTATTATTAAAATTCAGATTTACCTTGTTTTATTGAGGTTTCCCCATTGTGACCTTTTAAAATATTACGCATACAATTCATAAATGTTAAACGTCATAAGGAATTCCCCAAAATGTAAAAAAAGAATTCTGAACTTTCACTTGCTGCTTAAACCCTTACATAAACTTCCATCTGCTATCCCTTTGTAAACAATTTCCAAGAATCATTTATTCAGTCTAAAGAGAATAAGGTAGAAATTCCACGAATTTAATCATGCGAGACACGTTTTAATGATTTCCTTAAAAATACTTCCTTTAGAGTGCTTTTCATCATATCAAGTTCTTTATAAGAAGCAGTACAGATCAAATCTTTTAAATTAAATTCAGTTCTGGATAAATTTAATTAAGTACCTTTGGAATTGAAAACTCAAAGGATTCTTCATTGTTTAGAAGTTTGAAACAAAAGTAAAAGTAAAAGTCTGTGCTTCCATAAATATTTTTACAGCTTGCAGTGTTATACTTTGAGAATCCGAATATGAATTCAATTACAGACTTCAATGACTTGTGAGAAAGTTTCATCTTCGTCGAGTTAAGGCAAGTTTACTGCAAATTGAAGTATAACATCGGTCGAGTATGTCACAAAGGAATTTTGAAATCAAATATTTATCTGCTTCCGACAATGAAGGCTTTAAAAGCAGACTGACAAAATGAGAAGCTTTTAACTTTGAAATTCCTTTCTAAATTTATTTCGTCAAGTTGCTTTCATCATGAAAAGTAAAATATCATTTCTGTACCATTTAAGCTATTTCATTTGATGTCGGTAGCTTTTTATGAAGGAATTTCAAATATGTTCATCATGAAAATTGCTTCAACAATTCAAATATTATAGTCGGAAGCAAATTTACATTACATTTTGTGAAACTCACTCTTTATAACTTTGTATTCAAACGAATCTGGCTGAATTGTATGGCAATTAAATTTAATCTTAATGCAGGCATTCAACATTGATTTTGAACATTTTCCATAACACTAATTTAATAATATCAGATTTCAATTATATTCAATACCTAATTGATTCGTGGTAGGTTTTAAAACTCATTTATCCAGTTTTATAAAAGCATACATGCACAATGGATTTTCGATAAATTGAAGCTCAGATAGCCTTTTTTTTGTTATATTCTGATTGAAAGATTTTCTGAAATTAATTTTGACATAAATGAAACTTTTCCAAATAGATTTCAATACTGATTGATATTCAAGCAGACAGATTGATTTCCTTTTGTTGTAAAGTTGTTAAATAATTTATATCTGAATATCATCAAATCCCTAAATTGAAGCTTTAGTGTAAACTATTCTTAAGTATACATGAAATTGAGCAATAAAGTATTAGTTTTGTGATGCAATTCATTTTTTTTCTATAAAATTCCTATTTTTGGCAAAAAGGAGTCTTTTTTTTGTATTTTTCGGTTATTATAATCAACAGTTTATAATTTCAATTTTAGACTATCAATTCAATAGACACAACAAGTGTAGATTTTTACTAAGTTTTCAGTTTCTTTCTCATTATATTTTCACATAATCATCTCATCACCGTCAAAAGTGACAACAATTAAAAATTTCGTTTAAAGCAATATACTTTTTTTGAGCATCTTTAAATCTCACAAGTGACATTCTTTAAACTTCTTATTTGAATTCTTAAATAACTCTTTTTGAACGTCATTAGGTAAATATTTCCTGTATTTCAATCATTTTAAGTTTTACTTATTATCATTCATAGTTTCACTCATGAAAGTTTTTTTTTCTTCTAATAATTAACCAGCTAGATATTTAATATTAATGCAAGATTTGACTAGACAATTCCTATCTTATCTTGATCACATATTTAATTATTTCATGCTAAAAATAGATAAATTTTTGGACAGATTCATTGAAGTGGATGAATTTTTGGCTTGAAACTTTTATCTTGTTGACTTTGGGATGTTGAGTGACCAATTATGACGTCTTTCAGTGACTTTATTGAACATCATGAATCAACGACTTTAAATCTTTTGATTAATTTTAAATCAGTTCATTTATAAATGACGTCAAACATTTCGGGGAGGGGAGTGGTTTTTTGTTGATGCTTTAAACAAAGGAAAATTATTTTTCATACACACTTTGTGACCAAAGTGAGTGGAGGGAGTTTTTAATCGACGTCATTTATGAATATCCTTTTAGGGTTCTGAGATTTTGTTACAGTTCAAACAAAACAAATGCTTTAAACATAAAGTTTGTGACAGGGGATTGCGGGGTGTCTACAGTCGGTATATAATTAATAAAAATCATCAGATTTAAAAAAGCTGTAAAATCCAAAGTTCAATCAAGCCAAAAAAGACAAACCACATTAATAAAACTGACCCTTAAAAAGTCCAATGAAACATCATTTGTGTGCAATCGTACAACTTTTTTTTCTTATCCTAAAGAGCTTCCATTCATCACAATGAATATTTTATGTACATAAGTTGTATCTTCACAGAATTCTCCATTTATCACATTTATTTTTAAATAAAATCCAACACATCTTCAAATCTCGCTTTCTTGCTTTAAATTATTTTTTTGCGTAATGCATGAATAACTAATAAAACATGTCATTTTCATTAATTCTTCTTATTTCTTATCTCAATTTTTTTTTCTTCATAAATGAGTTAAAATATTATTTTTTGTCGTTGTATAGTTTTTTTTTTTTCAAATTTACTAGTGTGAATTGGTGAATGCAATGTACAGCTCCATATTTGAATCTATTTTTTTAAGGATTTTGTTTATTAATCCGATTATTCCATTGCATATGGATATGAAGCATATCCATTCGGGTTATCATAATCTTATAGATGCATTATGGTGCTATTCTGATAGCTGGAATAACAAAGTTATTATGTACAAAGGGGACTCACTGTTTTTTTTTGGTAAGTTATAACAAAATATCACATACATGAAAAGTACGATAATGAAATTATAAATAATGTAATAATAAGATTTGTTTCACGTACGGAACATATACATTAATAAAAAGGAATATATGCATCAAATCACATTTACTTTAATTCACTACGAAAGAACCAACCTGAAGTTCTGTTCTCTTTGTTAAGAATGAGAAACATTATTAAGAATGATTGACATTTAGTATGAACAGTTCTTGAATGATATTGCTGTAATTTTTCTTCGTCATTTCGTTTCTGTCTTTGCTTATCATTTTGCAATTTCAATTTTTTATTTATTTTCTTCTTGTTTCCCACTCATTTTCGAGTGTATTTGAAACTATATTTTATGATAAGGTTATGTCTCATTTCTAATGCTGATAATGACATGCAAAATTTAACAGAATATTCATGAATTTTGAAGGCACAACATATTGTATCGTTTTAAGTTTATTCTCAAGAATACCTGAAATTGACTTTTGAAGGGAAACTCTCTAAATTCAGTCTTTCTCAAATTTATCGTTTTGCTAATGGCACGTTTATATATAGAAATTTGAGAAAAACTTATTAAAATCCCTATAATTAATTATTTTGCTATTCTAACCTTTTGCAATAAAATCAGTAAGGCAAACATTCCAAATATTATTTCTCTTTGCACAATAAACTTTCGATTATTCTCTTTCGTTTTTTCGTTCCAAAACGTCATGTCTGACGAAAATCTACACCAGTATTATGCTCGTAAGAATATGACGTAAATACAACATTGTGGATGATCATCTTATATGTTGTTATCCACATCTCCATCACACATTTATTTGTTTTAAGCATAGAAATAGTTAATTTGCTTGTTTTATATCCTTTCAACCATAATTATAAAGTTAGTATTTACATGAAACATAGTCTACTTTAGTTAATACTATGACTAGTAATTGAAATTAGTTTTCGAAGTATTAGCGTTGATTGGAGGTAGTAGCGTGTATTTAGCAAGTGATTAGTGCCAATTTTAATATATTTTTTGAGAAAAAAAATATATTTACAAATGAAAATAAATAAGTAAATGAATTATATTAGTAAGTAAATTTAAATATGTATGGCGTAATAAATATTAATAGATTAGTCGATTCTTTTGAATATAAAACAAAAATTATAGAATTATGAAATTGACAGTTTAAAGTATCGTAAAGAAAGGGAAAATGAAGATAAAGGAAGGAGAAGAAATGAAACAAAAAAAAGAAGCAATAAATGGAATTGAAGACTCACCCGCTTTGAACGGAAGGCGTGTCTCTTGATGGATCCGGCGACTGCATAAATTGTGATGCCGGTGTGTTAGCATATCCAATATTGTTTGCATTTGATGGCGATAAAATTGCGCGAATTTCAGATGGTATATAGTCCTTATTTTTAGGTTGCCCTGATGGCGTTGTGTATTTGTCAAATGCTTCATTTTTAGCCTTGTTTGGAAATAGAATAGTCAAATCGTCAAAGTCACGTATACGATCTGATAATGAACGTGTGGCGAAATCTTTTGCTGTAAATGGCTGAATATGAAGCACACATGGATTGCCATCGTTGCCCTCATTTACCCAGGCAATCGTAATTCCTCCTATAGTAAACAATTAAAGTGATAACATTGGATTATTATTCACATGAAGCTATATTTAATCGTGTGACACTTTACGTGGTACATTTTAATTTCCAGGAAATTTTTAATTAAAGCAATGATAACTTACCGAGTTCGCTGTCTGAGAATCTCAACAAAAATGTGCCGCGTTGACATTTGAGTAAATGATCCTCTGCTGTTCGTTTGTGAATAAATCCAACAATAGATCCGTCATTCCATGGACCACGTAAATGCTCACGTGTCAATTTCATTGCAGCATAGAACCATTCCCAGAATGTGAATGTGCGATCGGGTAAAGGTTCTTTACAGAATTGAGACCATGTAATTTGATAATCGTCTGAAATTGGCATCGGAACTTGCAATTTAAATCCTTTCTCACATAAGAAGTGTAAATTTTCTGGTGTCAAACAGCGTCCAGTTGATGCACGGAATTTCATATTTAATGCTTCAGCCAAACGATTCCATGGAACTTTATCAGGTACTGCAAATGGCTGACGATTAATCTCAGCAAATGCATTATCCCAAGTGATTGTTGCCCATGATTGTGGCTCTTGATTTCCATGAACAATCACAACAACAGGCAATGATAATGCCCAGACAGAGAAGACTAAATCTCCATGTCCAATAGCAAAGCTCGATTGAAAGAGTAATGCAAACTTTTCATCCATCACACTTTCGGTGCCTTTCTTTTCAGCACGCTTAATCTTTTTCAATTGCATGTTACGAAAACTGACTGACAATTGCTTTGTTGTTTCATTATATTCCATATTTCCAGTGCTATTAAGAATTTCACCGCACGTATGTTCTGAGCATTTATTTGTCTGCTGTGTGTTTTGAGCTTGCTGTTCTGATACAATTGTTACCTTCACCAATGGACTGTTCATTTTTATGTTCAATGTATTTCCGATTAATAAACGTACTGTCGATGCAAATCTGTCGATTAAATTTCATTGGAATAATGTAATTAAAGATATTTATTTTTATAACTGATAGGGATGTAGTCAGATGAATATAAAATATAGAACAACATACCTAGTGTTAGTTTTCATGACTTGCGGTGGCTGCTTCTCAATAATGAACGAGCGAGTTATCAAATGTTCAAGTAATCCAGTTACTTTCGAAAAAAGCTCGGGTAAAAAGTCTGGCAAATTCTGTTCGTCGACATTCAACTGTTTACGATATTTTGACACCATTTTGATTTGTTCACGAGTATTCCATAAGATGTCTGCTAAATGTTCACACCAGCCTTGTATAATGTCCAAGTTGTTGGCATTCGATGGAGGTGCTAAATTATTGAATGGATCAACAAACGAATGGAATAGAAACAGAGATTAATTATTTATCAGGGAAAAATTCTGAGGGAAAAAAACAGAAATAATGCAATAAATATACCTCCATTACCGGCTAATCCTTGATTCATACGCCACTGATTTAAGTACTTGTCAATTACTTTCTGTTGAACAGTTTCTGTCAACTCTATGGTGGCCTTGAATTTGTCAACCAAATTCAATCTCATGCCAGTCAATTGATTCAATGAAAGTTGTAATCTCTCCTGCTGTTCACGTCTCATTTGTGCTGTTCGATCACGATGTTCTGGATTTTGATTATCAATTATGTCATATTGGGCGTTACTCTTTGTCACCTCATGTACTTCACAGCAAAAAATCTCATACTTTTTCTTCAAATTACGATTCTCAATTTCATTTGCACGTACACGTGAGATCAATTCTTCCAAAGCTTGAAAGATTTGTGTAAACTCGCTGTTTTGTGTCATCCCACATTCTTCTGGATAGCACAGCATATTCTTTTCAAACATTAAACAGTTACGAAGATGAGAGTATAATTGACTTGGATTATGTGAGAATAATTGTCGAAAATTCTTCGATGATTCTATTAGGCGCAATTTTGCTGTAATTAAGTCATCGGACGTCATTTCAGTTGCTTTACGTTCTAATTCGACGAGCAATTCATTCAGAAAACGAGCAGATTCAATTTCAAGCTGAGGATCATGATCCATAATCATTGGTCCAGCACTGTAAAAATTTATACATCGAAATTGGATGAGTTTATTTTTGTATGGACGATGAAAATGTGCAACAAGTGACATAAAATGTTTTTCTACTTACAGCAATCGTGTTTCGAGCCAATCACATAAATAATGGCGGACTTCCATAGGGAAATGGTTACCATAGGAAACACGTATTTGTTCCATTACTTCGGGCCGCGATTGCAGCAATTTATTCCACAATGCCATCCTTAGCTTCACTCTTATTTATCTCTTTTCTCACAATTTTATTATTATTATTATTCTTGCTTAATTTTTGTGTCTATCAATCACTGAAATTAATTAGAAAATGCCAATTTATATAATTAAATTTTCTAATGTCTCAATTGATATTATTTACACACAGCCAGTCACACACAAACAAGAAGAAAAAAAAGGAACTTTTTCCTTCCTTTTTTCCTCACTCAGTCAGTCCCAGCTAATGCTTTTTCCTCTTCAAAGCCTATATGTAGAATGGTATGAGAGGAAAATTGAATGTACATGAACATGTACACATAATGATTCTTACATTTACTGCGCAAAGGAAATTTTTCGTTTCGATTGAGCCGCGTTTACTCTTTTTTTACTTCACATCACATGAAATATTTATTACTATTTTTCATTTCTTCTGTTCCCTGCTAATCTATTCTACTCGCTGTTTGACTTCTTTTTCCTGCTTTTTTTTGAGGAAAAAAATTTGATAAAAAAAGTACCATGGAAAGTGAAGTCATTTGGGGAACAACAAGAAGTAAACTTTGAGTATACAGAGAAAAACGAGCTCCTTATCTCTAAAATGTGCTTATAATATTACCTTTTATCGGTAAAGAGAAATTTTTATTATTATTATCATTGTGGGTTGTTCTGCTTGTTCATAAAAAAATAATACAGAGAGCGAGAATCATAAAATTGTGCCTTATTTTTTTTTTACCTGGATCTCTAGATCTTTTTGAATATGCAACAATATTTAAAATGATTTTATAGACAAGATACTCGATTTAGTTCGAAATATAATACAGCACAGAAATTAATTATTGATTTAAAATCAATTAAATGCTTGAGAATTCACATGCACGACACAAACAAATGAACGAACATACAGCAATTAGCATTTTCTCTATTCTCTCAACAATTGGATGTATCGTTGATGCAAAAAAAAAGTATTATTTCCTTTTCTATTGAAATATCGCCCAAAATTTTGCTCAACGACCGAGCCGAGACTAAGATGATAAGGAAAAAAAGCCTTTGCAATTTTTTGCCGATTTACTTGATTATCTTTGACAATTTTCATCACACTCCACTATTTTATACAATCGTACATACCTTATTTACTGAATACACTTGTTTAAAACTAATTCACTTGCTAAATGTCAAAATATACTGAATTTTTCTTACTCACAATGCAAATTCTAAGAATTTTTTTATGAGGGGCTCGTTATTCAGTGAAATATACGGTTCTTGGCTACGGGGAGTGAATCTATAGATAAAATACGATTGCTAGTTGCTACTTAACACTTTTTCACAAGACGCACTTACCCTGTTTTTTCGTTATAAGCTACTACTCGTTACTAAGCTACTAGCTTAGTAAAGTTTTTTGAACTTGAAATTTTTTTGTAATCTTTACTAAGCTACTACTAAAAATAAAGTATAATTATCCTTTTTCAACTTTCTAAGTATCAGTTTCAATGCCTTATGACATTGTCAATGAAATAAAATCGAGAAGATAGCAAAATTTCTTTAATTAAGTTAAAAAATTCAAAATTTTCATTGAAGTTCAATTTCTTTACTAAGCTACTACTCGTTACTAAGCTACTAGTGAGCCAGAAAAATCACTTTTTTATTCTTCTAAGCTACTAGCTTATAACGAAAAAACAGGGTAGCTAATTTAATTAATTTTAATGATTTATCGATGAGCACATTTAATTTTCCTAATTGTAAACAAAGATTTAACCGTTATTTTTCGAAATTTTAAATTATATCCATGAGAAAATAACATTTTGCGATCCAATATCACTGATGCGTTAAAAAATTATCAACTTTCTAGTGTGATTAAGCTGAGTTATTGCATGAATCAAAGCTTATGTGATCATGAAATATACGTTTTATATTATTATCATTACAGACGAAGTGAATAGACTGTGTTTCAAAATATTTTGCTAAAACGCGCTCAAAACACTTCAAATGTAAACAAACATTTGTAAAGTTCAGCAATGGAGGACCAAGTAAGTTACAAAATTAATTTATTTTGACAGAAATCCTTATTAATTTACTAATGTATCATTACTAGATTAAATCTCAAGTCCGTAACTCGTTCACAAAGTTGAAAAATGCCATTGATTTACGCGAGAAGCTGCTTTTGAGACAATTGGATGCTTTTATGAAATTTTCACAAAAAACTGATCTTTCTGAAGTTAATTTCATGACAGCTAATGAGGAAGATATCTTGGATGTACTTAGACAATATGGATCATATCAAAATATAGAAAGTTTCCTTCCATTTTTGGAGAATGACGATGAAGATGACGAGAATTGCAAAGATGTTAAATGTCTTACAACTTGTAATTTTTTAGACAACAAATTATTATCAGAATCGATAATTAATCTAACAGTTAAAGAGTCTCATGATCTCATATCTAAATCCAGTGACTTAAAGATGAAAACTGATGATTTGGTCTCGCAAGTCCAACAAAAGTTGAAAATCATACTTCCAACAACAAAGCAAAGTGATATCGATAAAACTAATAATCACAAAGAAGTTAAGGATATAAAATCGATCAAACAAAAGGATGTGAAGGTCAAAGAGAGTGAACCAAAGTTAAAGAGAAATAGCGGAGCTAGTTCATCAAAGAAAAAAGTATTGAAGAATATAAGCAACTTGACGTTGAACAGTTGTGGATCAGGAAATATTATTATAAAGAATATATCTAATCTGACTATAAATACATGCAAAACAGAATCTGAAAATGAGGCTCGAATCTGTAAAGATACGAAAAATTGTGAGATTTTCTATCCACAATGTGATTTCTATGAAAAATTGATATCAGAAAATGAGGCATTAAAGAAAACGATTGTCCAACAAAGTGTTAATTGCACTACATATCCAGATCCAATAACAGCTGTCTGTATGTCACCAAAGATTGAAGATATTAAGAATGATGGAACATATTCAATAAATTCAGTCTCAAATGAGACAAGTGCTTCGTCATTAATTGATGAGGCTGAAGATGGATATCCAGCTATTACTAAAGTCGAAAAAACAAGAAAATCAGAAATTGGCTATGTTGAAGGCGAATCACCAATAGAAGAAGTCTCAACCAGAACAATGCATTTGGCTGAAAACTTTATTGGAACTACAACATCTCCTATCATTCAATGCTGGCTTAACAAAATGTGCTTAGAAACGGAACTAGAAAATAACATTGAAATTCTCGAATTCAGTAATATTGTCTCTTAATTGTGATGTCCATTAATCTCTTTCCATTAATTATTTTGATCAGCTCTAGATATTTTGAATTTAATGTGACTTTAAACTTAATTTTTAATTCTCAAAACAATTCATTGATGTTAAGCTTTTAACTGTTAGTCTGAATGCCATTTTTAGCCATAAGTTAATTCACATTTTAAAATATGCTTTGTACTTAGTTTCATCTTGAGCAGTACAAGGATTGAGTCAATAGAACAAAATATTGAAATTGCTGCGACACTTACAAGAAGTAAACTTAATTGATAGTAAGCACTTGTTTATTTTCACATTCGAATCTCAATTGACCAAAACAAAATACATGCATATAGATTGTAACTTATCACGAAACATTAATAAATTATTAATCACTAAATTTGGAGTTTTAATATTACGATATCTAATTCCAATTTTGCTTCGGATGGGATGATGCCTATTGATTAATAATTTAAAACCCAAGTTGTGTTATTTTTACAGTAATTTTATTATTCATTCAAAAGTTTCATTTTTTTAATATATAAATTGCAACATGATTTAATTTCTTTTTTATGTCAACATGAAAAAGCCTTTAAGTTTTTTGTGTGTCGTTTCGAATCTGAATTGGGAAATACTTTCATCTCTAATTCCTGACTTTTTTTTTACAAAATACAAAAAATACTCTTTTTCTTAATAATTTGTGATTGGTTTACGTGATTTCAGCTATATACACAGTTTTAATCAAATAAGAGACTTTAAAGCAAAAAAATGATGATTTCCTAATGCGTATTTTTAACGGAAGACGAACGCATATTAAGTTAATCATGTCCACTTTAAGCATCCTTTTGTTTCATTTATAATTGTCACTTAAGAGTTTGGTTTTAATTTTTAATCTAGGATTGAATTTGATGTGATTGATTTAAATGGTCAATGGCTCAAAACCAATGAAGAAATTCAAGATTTTTAAAATTAATAAGCTTAGTCAAGCGATTAAAATGATAAACTTTCAAGATAAAAATAAATCCTTAGATTAAAGATCGAAACCAAACACTAGCAACCGTTCTAATGTCAAACTAGCTATCATACAATCGTCTTATTCATATGCATAAGTCCAACTTGTGAGTCGAGCGAGTCTAAGTCGAGTGCTGTATCAATCATGGTTTCATTACGCAGCGCCGGACCAAACACAGGCAACACTTCTGGTAATTGATTTGATTTTTGAAGCGCGACTGCATTTAATACATTTTTAAGTTCAATGGACGTAATTTGTGTTCCTGTTGTGGAAGATGATGATGAAATTGAAGGCAGGATAATTTTATTTGTCTCAATTGGAATAGATGACGATGTCGTCGATATATTGTAGACAGATTGTGGATTATTATTATTTGGTATTTCTTTCTTTTTAATGAACGAAGACGTTAAGAGTGGATCGTCAAGATCCAAATCTAATGTACTAATATATCCATTTCCACCATTTACAGTCTCATCAATATTACTATAGACATGATCTGATGCAGCATTTTTCAGAATGTTTGGAACATTTGGAGATGTGGGTGGAATATTACTATAAACATTTTGTGTTGTATCTGTACTATTATTGTTATTATTAGTCGTATTTGAATTATTATTGTTAGTATTGGATGGTTTTTTCTCATCGACATTCTCAGTCGGAGCATCACGATAGGGAAGATTATTATATGAATTTCCTGCAGTCATGTGCTTCTTCTCCATAGAGACATTAACATTTGTTATGCTATTTTCAGAAACAATTTCATTCACATCTTGCATGTCATTTGCTGATGATGTTATATTGTTCTGCGACAATCGCATTCGTTTGTCTATTGTTGATGACGATGGGATTAAAACGGATGCAAGTGGAAGTTCATTTTCTACTAAATGTGCTACTGACGATGTTGATTTATCTAAAAAAAAAGCATAAAAGAAGAAAAAAAAAATAAAATTATTAATAATGTTGTGCCTTGAAATCCTCAAAAACTTAATAATTTAGCAAAAATGTATGTCAAGTCAAGCTATAAATTTGTTATTGATTGAATTTAATTTTCATGTCAATCGAAAGCATTTCTCAAATTCAATCATTTTAGTTGCTCATTTCATGCTATCCGAAAATTCAACAAGTATGCAATATGTTTGTTTAATAGAAAAATTATAACTCAAAATTGTTTGCCTAGAATAATGTTTTTTTTGCTGCTTATGTTTATTACAGAAAGAATAAAATTTTATTTGTCAAATTCATGTCTATTCAACATTTAGCTCTAACATCCTGCTTTTTTTTGGATATATAAAATACAAGCAAAATTTGCATTCAGCTTAAAAAGCAATTTTTTTTTTCGTGCATAATAAAATAAACGAATATGAGAATTGAAATGAAATAAACAAAAGATAAAAGGAAGAAGAAGAATGGTTAACATGTGGAATCTAGTCAAGGTGATGACCTTTATTCAGAGCTTGAAATCGACAGGAATTACAAAAATCCTAGTCAATTTCGAGATCTTTGCTTTGATTAAACCTTAAGATTTAATTAAATCCATGAATTAAAAAATTGATGACTTCAAATTAATCTTTGGATTAAAAAGAAATCAACTTAAAATTAATCCATGAATTAAAAATCAACTTAAAATTAATCCATGGATTAAAAATCAATAAATCCAAAACAGTGTTGCAAATGTAGATGTCTACACTAGATGAAGAATGTAGATTCTTCAATAGTTTTTGTCTAGCTAAGAAACTTTCTTCATAAAGATCGATTCTACATGAAGATAGAAAATCTAATCTACACAAAGATTATTTGTACACAAAGATTCTGTCTACATAAAGATTCGATGTAGATGTCTACAATTCTACATTTTTTCTAGGTCTACATCAGAGAAAAATGTAGAATTGTAGACATCTATATCGAATCTTTATGTAGAAATAATCTTTGTGTAGATTAGATTTTCTATCTTCACATAGAATCGATCTTTATGAAGAAATTTCTGTCTCAGAATTTATCTGATCCAGACAAATCGACAGAATGCAACACTGATCCAAAATCCATCAAATCACCAACACTTGACCAGCAATATAATCAAATAATAAGTGATGTGATTAGAATCAATAAGATTAATGCTGAACGCATTCGCAATAATTCTCATATCTTTTTTTTTGTATCTAAATTGTATAAAAATAACTTTTTTCTATCTCGCCTACGAAACTCACCACAAACATAATTAAAACTTTATGGAAATATCCCATGGGATGTATCTCAATCAATCGATTACTCGATAAAAGAGGAGGTAAAACGATATTCGATTGAAAGCACAAATAAATAAGAAAATGAATGAAAATTAATAAAAAGAATTTTAAAAAGGAACTTTAAGTTGAAGAGGATTTAAAAGGTTTTCTTGCTTTTTAACATTAAGCATTGATGATTCTTTTATGAATATTTATGGCTAGTCTAACAACTTTCTTCATCATAAGTATAACTTTTAAAAATACATGAAGCAATGACAAAATTTTAAATTTATTTATATGTGTTGTTGTTGTGATCCCTATGTTATATCCAATGATAATTTCCTTTAGTTATAACTACTTTTTGGTGTTGTCACCGATAGTATAATTTCATTTACAAGTTTATACAAGTTTAACAAGGCTCTAAATGATCACCAAAAAATTAAATTATATTAGCAAATTGTTAATTAATCTTCAGGAAGTGTTTGTAGCTTTTACGATTCAATCTTATCTAGAAGGTTTCATCTTTAGATCAAGCTTAAGCTTCGAGAATATAAAAGGCTGGCTAATTTGGACCTGCTTAGGCAGTTGTAACTTAGTAGATTTTGCCTCAATCAGATGGAAATCTTTAAAAGCTCATGAATCAACACAGCAATTTTAATAAGTAACTGGATTGAGCAAATTAAACTCTCATAAATCTATTATTAAAGTAGAATGACTTTACGTCATCCGTAAACCTAGATCTTCCGAAAATAAATCCAATTTGGTGAAAGTTTATGCTAATGATGATCAGCGAAACTTTAGAAAACAGACAATTAAAAATAAGATTCATATTTCCTGACTCAAATTTCAAGAGATTCTTTTCGCAATTCAGTCTATAAATCGCAGCGTGATGCAAAGATGAGCCTCATCATTTTAGACAAAACATTAAATCGCATCGAATTGTATAGAAAGTAAAAACTTTTATCACATAACGGTAATTCTAATGAAATTGCACAACATAATACTTTTTTTGTATCTTTCGTGTCGATAATAAAGGCAGCACTCATATATTTAAAAATATTTTGATTCTAAATCGTTGAATTCAACTTCATTGTTAAGGTTAAAACTTGAAAAAATGTTTAAATTTTATGCCTTAATACTTTTGATATTATTCATAATATTTGGTATTTTCATTTGCATGTATTTCAAAATATTTCATCTAAAGTTCTCTACACTTAGTTACTGTGTATTGTTAATAAAAATATTCGTCACTCTACATCCATTTATATTTTAAAAGTTATCTCTTCAAAAGTGAAGTATATGCTATGAGTCATTCCTCATTTCTTCATGTATCGAGTTCAAATCGAAATTACTGTAATGATATTCGTAAACGTTCGAATGTCGCTTTCCTGGATTATGATAAACTTGATGTACACTCTGTGGCGATAATTGTAATTGATGGCTTTGGGCTGTATTCATATATTTTCGGTACGGGCTCTGATGACTTAATTGGAGAAAATAATTGTCAATGTACATTTGTTGCTGCTGATTAGGATGAAGAAGTTGAGTCGCTTGCTGTAATTGTTTCTTACAGGCACGATAATGTGACATATGATCAATACCATTGCGTATTTTTGAGCCACTAGCAATCATTGGATCCCATTCATTACAATTATCGCCAGAAGATGTCGAAGAACTTGGTGTGGGTAATAAAACCTGCTCGTCCGATTGAGGTGATAATTTAATAGGCGGAGCAGGTGGTGGGGTTGTGGGATGTCGAATTGGTATATTTCGATAATATTCCACACATGTTCCATCATATCGTTGATGGATACTATGTATGGCGCGATTTTTATGATACGGATAACGTGGCAATGAATTCGAATCGTAATGATTATCACTCATATCATAATTTGATTGTGGTGACACGAATTTAAAATTAGTCGGTATTGCTTGTTGTTGATGTTGCGGCGTTGATGCCGAAAACGAACGATTAATTGATGGGTTAGTAATGCTATTATTAATATTGGCGTTATTATTGAATTTCTGCACACTCAAACTAAATCTCTTGTTTAATGCAATCTGCTGATTGCTCGAGTAACTCGGTGGCAAATGAAGGCTTTTTATTGAACTACGATGGAACGGAGACTTACCGTTTTGTAGATTATCATAGCTTCGTTGTCTATATACACCTTGCATATGAGAATTATTCATATTCGTTGATGCCTCCAGCTAATCAGGAATAAATGAGAATATTGTTATAAGTATGCATACATATAATTAGTCAGCACATATCAACTTACATCAACATGATTGTATGCTTTTGTTGGATCAACAGTTGTGCCTATATGTTGAACAACTATCGGAGGCTGTGATGTAATTACATTCTTATCCGCTGATTGCATTTGTAGTCTATACTCTTCTGTTATGATACCGCGTCTATTAAAATTAATAATTTACTTTTATTGAGAATGTTATAGACAATCATGATGATTTTAAGCTTACCTATCAATTAATGAAGGTTGCAGTGGACCACATAAAATATAAAAGCAGTTCAGACATATATTCCCTCTTGAATAAGGATTTTGTGAACCTATAAAAATGACATTAAAATCAATATTTATGAACTGAATTGCTTTTGAAGGTCGTCTATGTTTGTGTTATTAGAATCAATATTTAATGGAACATATATGACGTGGTCTGGATAAATAAGTAAGACACTCACCGCCTTTATTTGAAAATGATCCTTTAATGTCTTCATTGGTTGTCTGATCACTTGAAGTTAAGTACGTATGAAAACCAGCAAGTCCGATCACAGACCAAACAGACAAGAAGCATATAGCCGATACTACAACACTAAATGGTGACTTCCTTATAACATCTAAGAAATCTTTTGTTTCTGTTTGTAACAAAACGAGATGTGTTAATGCACATGCAAATATAAAAACCGCCAAAAATGCTAACGAAACAATAAACATATAAAAGAAGCGATAATTCCTTCGTCCTACACAGTTTCCGACCCAAGGACTGAAAGAGAGAATGAAATTAAAAAGATGAAGAGCAATTTACGATGATAATCAATCAATTTTTAATGCTGTTTACTCACCAATGATGATCAAAGCTGTGTAAATTGTTTCGGGTAAACAAAAAAGAAAGAAAGAGAAATGGACGAATTAAAGGAAGTCAGATGAAAAATGTTCAGTAGCACAATCAATACATACCGATCAACACAATTATCACATAATGAACAATGAGATGCTCTTGGCGGTCGAAATATTTTGCAGGTAAAACAGTATTTGAGTTTAACAGCCTGTCCTCTTACGAAAACTTCTTTCGTTCGTGGTGGTGGTCTAAAAATATTCAATATAAAAAAAAATAATAATTGGGTCAATTTTGGATATATTCTCTAAATAAGGAATCGATTGAAGCTTTCAAGGTAAAGAGCTTTTCTGATTTTGTATTCCGTTCCGTTTTAGGTCAGATGATTTATTATATATAAATTGGAATTCTCGGGAGACATTTGCGTTTACATTTTAATTGAATTGTCCTTGATATATGATAAACAATAGCTCAGTATTGATTTTTATTGGAAATTTTAGATTGTTGTAGAAGTTGAGAAGGATTTAATCTTCATTTTGACTAATATAAAAACATTAAAAACACAACTAATACCCAAAAATACATCCATTGTGGACTATTGACTTGAAAACGAGTACAAATTCCATCTTCCTTACAAAAATCGATTAGTTAATTTTCAACGTTGAAGAACCAGCAACAATCAATCATGTCATGAAAAATGATGAAATAATTAAACTCAATCATCAGTTTGCTGACTTATGTACAAGAACAAATCAACAATAAAGTTCAATACCTTCAAACTTACCTATAAGTTGGACTATTTAATGAATTTGGAACTTCTATTTGTTTTTCGATGTAAGCAGCTTCGTCTTGTGAAGCTCTCGGGAGAATCCCAGGATCACTGAATGTAGTTCGTAAAAGAGAGCACATTGTAAAAACGTAGAGAACACCGCCAATGATTGGAATTCCAATTGTTATTCTCTCCGCAAGAAATGGACAGTCAAATACAAAGAATAGAGTACTCGTCGCGGTAATGAGTACAACAGTCAAATAAAAAATACTCGTGTTTGGTGCAGTCATTAAATACCCATCACAATAAAACTTATTGCGTCCGGGAAAGATTTCCCATTTCCTCATAACTTTTTGTTTCTGTGGTGCCATTTTTAAAGCCATTCAAAATTCTTCTCAGCCTTGTTTTCCAATACGTCCTTCTCTCGACACCTTTAAATCTATAATCTTTATGCTTTACAGGTGTTCAAATTACAGCAACATATTGTATATCCCTCTCAGACCTATTTCAGCACTTCGTTTTGTGTTATGTAGGGTTTGCGGTCGATAAATTTTTATTTCCACATAACGATATCTCTTTCTCTTCCTTCTCGTGTCATGAAATTTCCACAAAGCTTTTCTTTTCTTTACCTCGACGACTAATCTTATACTTTTAAGGGATGATAGAAAAGACCTGATGATTGTAAAAATAGAATAGAGACACAGCACAAATCGACACGTGCTAAATTGGATGTTGTAAAGTAATTTCCGAGTGATGGAATTCGTTGAAGCTTTCTATCAATCTTGCTGAGTCGGAAAAGTGCTTTAATGAGACAAAACAATATTCATCGTTGAATCCATAAAGTCCTTAATGATATTTGTTGAAGATTTCCTTCCTTTTCTTCTTTTTTGGTGTTTTTTTTTTTTTGATCTGAAAAGAGAGTAAGACGACGTGTAAATTACTTTATGGAGATAAAGAATATCTTTTACTAGTTGACAAACTAGTTAAGCATGACGAGGATGTACAAAATATATAAAGCAATAAAAAGCTCGAGGTTGAAATTGTGGGATTAATTAATAAATCGTGAGATTCAGGCGCTTAACCAGGGAGGGGGGGGGGGAAATGGGGGAAAAATCTCCCGACGATAACAGAAATTTCTCCCTTCTGCTAAGTTTTATGTAAAACTCTGAATTTTTGATATAAAATTTTTTTTGACCCCCCCCCCACCCCCCCCCCCCCCTCTTCAAATTCCTGGCTACACTCCTGGTGAGATTTATTACTTTCATTCAGGTTCTAATTAAATTGTCAATTTTAAGGCTCTTCTTCCAATAAAATCATTTAGCATTAAGCTTTGCATGAAGCCCGATACTGAGTTTGACAAAAAGTCAACTTTGAACCTTCTCGTTCAAATCAATGGTTTTAAAAAAATTAAATTCTTCGATTCGAACCCTTGCGTTCTTTCCATCCCCAATCCAACACAGAACACAGAACTATATAAATAGCATCCAATAAATCCCCAAAAATATTTCTAAAGCAAAAACAATTTTTATGATAAACATTCTGTTGCGTAATAGCAAGTCTTCAATTCAATGTCTGCACGAAAAAAGCTCATTTTTCAAACGAGATTTTCCCCTTGCATTTACTCCATCCAGCAAAGATATGAAAAGGAAAAAAAAATAACAGCATCAATATACGAAGCACGATACTTTCTTCTTTATCCGCATACACAACAAGACATGAAAATAAATTGCAGGAGCTTTAATGTTCTCAATTTTCTTCCGATATCGCAAAATGCTGTATTTACAGTCTCTATCGTCATTGATTAAAATGAAATGAACATAATTCGATGTTTTTGACACATTTCATAAAATTGAAATGGAAATTACTGATAATGTCGTTTTCTAAAATTGAAATTTGCTCGTGTTAGATTCATTTGATTTATTTCGCACATATTGAATTTTAATCACTTGTGTCTCATGGAGATGAGAAACCTTCATTCGATACAGCATCAAGAAAACAAAGAAATTTTGAGCCAGTAACAAAGAAAACGATTGAAATTTAAACGAGGTGAATATTAAAATTCACGAGGTTTTTTGTTGCATGACCTATTTCATTTGAAATGTGTAATCATTTACTGCTACCGTTCGCTATGTTTTTTTATTTTTTGAGATAAGTCTAGGATAGCTAATTGTGATGTTGATAATAATTCTGATGTCATTACATATTTTTTGATTGTGGAATTATGTTCGAGGCGATAATTAAGGTTTAGTAATGCTGGCTAAATCCACAGCATTATCAAATTATGTAAAAATGATATTTTATTTAAATTAGGTTAACGTTATGTTTTGAGCTTCAAGTGATTAAGTGGCATAGAGGTTTTGCCCAAAATGTTTGCAGCCAAAGTTTGAGAACCCTTGACTTCTTGTAATTCAGAATCAACTATCATGCTTATTTTAGGTTCGAGACTCGAAATGGGATTTTTTTTGCATGCTACTTGAATCTTGCCTACTTTTATGTTATCAAAAAAGAGATTCGGTATCTTCTATAAGCTGTATAGAATCCTGGACGGAGTGCGAAATAAAAGCACTGTTGGAATAAGCGATTCTATGTAATGGCCATTTAATGATAAATCACGTTAGTGCAAGGGACACAGAAGAGTGTAGCTTATATATGGGATTTAGCCATTTAATCGTTGAATCCCCATATAGCTCAGAGGTAGGAGCACGCGATTGGAAATTGAGTCCCACTTGGGATCCTGATATTCAGAGTTTACTCAATTTTCTGTCTTTTGTCATTTAGAAGTTTCGTAGTCTTTCCATATAGATGTTTTCAATAAGCACAAAAAACACTTTTTCGAGGAATACAGAACCAATTATCTTATCAACTTTATGAGTTTAAAATTAATTCAGTTTGATAAAAAATTAATCAATGAATTGATTCAAGTTAATGTTCTTGAAAAATTGCAATAAACTGACAAAGTCATGTCTTAAATTGAAAATTTCCAGTCTTTAAGCTTTCATTATCGATCGCCAAATAACCCCCGTTCCATCCATCAAAATGAATCTCATTCAGGAAGAATTAAAAGAATCTGTCAATCTGCAGAATGAATGAAAACATTTTTTCTCAATTATGATAGATTAAACTGTTGGAAATCTTTTATTTGCGAAAATTCTTCTTTCTCGTAGATTCTCATGCATGTTGGCAACATAATTTAAAAGCGATCAAGTGTAAATGTCTTAAGCCCTTGAAAAACGTGAGAGACTTAGTCATAATTAAATTTGTTTATAGCAAAAAACAGTCATTAATGTACTTTCGGGGAGAATTTTAATTTATTGCAGTTAAAATGGTTAAGAATCACCAAATACACCCCTGACCGCACTGAATATAGACATAAAATTATTGAGAGCCCTCTAACATCAATTTAGTCCCATCAATGTGAGCAAAAAAAAAAAATCAATAAAGAATTTTTTCTTTTAAAATTTATTGCTCCAAATACAAAATTGATGGCCTCTTGTGCACAAAAAAAAAAGAAGGAATCTGATTCCTTTTAAGATAGCAGCAAGGAAGAAAAAAAGGCTTTTTCTTATGGCCTATTAACAGCATGAATGGTAAGCCATTAAATATACATAAACTGTATTTTTTTGTTCGTGAATAGGATACGAATAAATGGGGCTTTTCTATCTATTAATAACCAGTCCTATTTTACTTTGATAGTTGAATGAATAATTAATAAGTTGCAATCAGTTTCAACAGCACTTTTTTGATGACTAATGCTCGCGTTGTAATTCCAATTAGAAGAGAAAACACTAAATGTTCACGTTTCTGGTACAAGATTGTAAGCACGACTGATAAGATTCTTTATCAATTCATCTACACGGAAAGAATTATTGTTGTTGTTGTTGTATATCTGTGATTTTATTTGTCAAAAGTATTACAGCACTTTAATACAATAATGACATTTGTTTTGGGGAACAAAATGTACGAAAATATTTTGGAGATTATTTTATTGTCTTTTTTGTATGCTTACAAACTTACTCATGAGTGATTTCTTAGTGCGATTTTGTAAAGAATAAGGCGCGGCTGTATTTACTTTGACTTATTGACTTAATATTCGTGTGAACTTTTTAAAGAATGGGAATTTCCGATTTTGAAAAGGTTTTACAGTATTTTTTGGAGTGAAAGCTAAGAGTTTCCTAGCTTGTAATGTTGTCAGCTAGAGCACCGAACTTTGTATGCAAAATATGTGTCGAAATGACTCGGATTCATAAAGTGTGAGCTCGGTTGATGTCTAACATTAAGTTTAAGCTGTGTAGCACTTTCAATTTAGATCTTTAGTCGCATTTCTAAATCAGCTTAATTTATTTATGACTCTAAATTATAACTGGCTACTGCTTTGACATGTTTTGAGCTTTTAAAATCATTAGCGAGACAGTTGAGCATCTTCTAAGCCACACAAATTGACCCAAAGTAATACATATAGAGCATTCAATCGTACTACTGATCCAAATATACTTGGAGATTAAACAAACAGCTCAAACTGCCAATAATGCATAATTGAAGTACTTACGATTATAATCTTTCTATAGAAACCATTCAGTAGCTTCATAAATCAAAATCATTAACTATGCGATTATCAGGAAAAGCGAGTTAATAAATCAAAGATAAAAGGTTCATAAATAATATTCAAACTTGAGCAAATTAGCAGCACAACTTAATGAACTATCGAATAAAAGCGCCACTGTCAAATATGATTCTTCAAGTACCGTCAATTATTTCACTAGCTTCTTCATTGTTCAATTCCGTCTTTTCTTCTTATTCTATTCTTTTTTATCATTCAAGTTCAAGAACTATAGTACAATTTAACGTCAGTCGTGCGACTTCAATTTTTCTTACTCCTCAACAAATAGTTAACGCACTAATACACATTGTTTGCTTTAATAATTAAATATGTAAGTCGTTTATCTAAGAAGTTAGCACTTGATTCTTTTTCTTTTTTTTTGTTGTAATAATTTCAGAAGCTACTCAACCTTCACTAATATTAATGAACGAAGCAGAAGTAGTAACATGACTCTACGTTTATAATTGCGGTGCCTAGGCTTGCACTTTAAGTACATTACATTTTTTTTTGTTGATAGCATGCAAAAAGAAATAGTTTCCTCATCAATCGACCATAAATGTGTATAGTATACACTACGTAAGTCGATGACCCATTAAGCAGCAGCAGTAAACTAATAGAAAGTCAACCCCAAATGTGTCTGTCTTGTAGTCTTGCTTCAAATTAGTTTTTAAGTATGATTCACAAAATAAAGACCTCAAGGATGGTTCTATGCACAACGTTGTTCTACGTTGTATGTAGAAGAATTGGATGTAAAGAAGGTGAGAAATTAGAACGAAAGGAAGCAATAAAGTAAATTGAAAGAATTTATTGAACTATGTAACGAAACTCCTTTTATAAATAGAATTATACTGAATTTAATCAGTGCATTATTATGCTGGGGGAAATAATATCTTTGACCTTATCATATCATTGATGAATACGGAATTTAGATAATGTTATATCCATTCTTTTGAGGAATGTCAAGACATCAAATTTATTTTTTTATTGGGGAAGTTTACTTTTTTTTTTTTTTTTTTTAAATTAAACTTTTTATTTATTTACATTTAAATTTAAGTATGTACAAAGTTTCTATACATTTTGTTGCTTTTTGTTTTAAGGTTTCAGGCATTCAATTTGCCTTTTGTCTCTTAATTTTGATTTCATTTACGGATTTTACTTTCTTTTGTATTTCATTTGATTTATTCGGTGTTTTGAGATACAAGACGACTGTTGAAGTTCGCTTGCAACTTTCCGACGTAGTCTTCGATGGACGGTATTTTCGCTTCTGTATGAAGATCGGTGATCCTTTCATATCTTGTTTTATTGAGAACAATTCTC